CATAAAGATGCACTAATTTAACTATACTAATGTAGTTAAATCAGTGCAATTTCTATGTGTAGTCTGGGGCCTCAGACATATCCCACTGGGACTGTGCATAGTGGCTAGCATTCACTTTGGATTTGGATTCGGCTGATTCGGGGGACAGTGATTTGATTCAGTGATTTGAATCACTGTTCCAAATCAGTTCAGCCGCAAATGATTCAGAGATTTGGCTGCTGCCGAATCAGCTGAATCTACGAATCACACAGGCCCCATCCCTCGCCCGCTCTCAATGGCTGCCCCGCCTGGCCCCAGCTCCCAGCTCTTTGAAAGAAAAAAGCCCCCATTCACCAGCTCCTGCCCAGCAGGGGGTGATCCCCGCTGCCTCCCACTGCACTGGGGACTCTGCCATGAGCCCCCCCAGCCCCCACCCACTCTCCCAGCCCTCCCCCATGGCTGCCCCATCTGCCCCAGCTCCTGGCCTTTTAAAAAAAACAACCCTGGACTCACCAGCTCCTGCCTGGTGGGACAGCAGCCCCCACAGCCCTGCGCTGCATGGCCCTGATTTGGTTTGGATTCAGAGATTCGGCCACCGAATTGGTCCAAATCTCCATCGAATCAAATCAGCACCTGAAACTGCACACAACCCCACATCCAACCTAGGAAAAAAATTAGTTTCTTGATATCACGTTTTAATAACTAGTTTAAAGGATAAGACACTTGTTTCCCCATCACTTTTGTTATTTTTTTAAAATGTAAATGCTGGTCCTTCTCCCAAGGCAGATATCCATATTTTGTGATATAGACACCTGGTATTAAATCTTGCTGGCCTCTCTACTTTGAGACTGAGGACTGAACAGATGTAGGAATAAGCCTATCTTTTTATTTTTAACCCTTTCAGATTAGGACTAAGGCACATATGTCCGGGTGATACATTACTGAAATGACTGTACCAGTTTTGTGGATAGAAAGCTCCCATCTCAGGATTAGTGTTCCAGCACCTCTCACAACTACAAAGTCCACTTTACATAACTGAAAATAAAACAATGTTTTTTTTCAGAAATCTTCTTTCCCAGGTTGTCTTCTCTCTGAGCTTACAGTGAACAAACTGTTCAAACTTAAGTATATATCACGCCAGCCCATCAGTGACATTTCCTGTTTCTACTAGTGGCTCCCAATCTGTGTTACAGATCATGGACATGTTTCAAGATGCAGTCAAGAATTCCTTTGGGGTATTCAGAACCTTTTTCCATTACCAAAACTGGAAAAAGCAACAATCGGTTATCTGCCTAGCTGTTTGCAACTATGTCTTTGTCAGGTATAACCTTGGTGAATAATTAAATTTGCTAATGTATAAAGCCTCAATTTAGCACTGTTCTTTGGCCTGACTTCTTGCATGAATGGGAACATAAAAAGGTATCATGCTGAAAGTCAGTTAATGATACAAGAGTGAACTGCAGTAATCTGAAAATATTTAAACAATAAAGATGATGCAATGAAGGATTGTTCAGTACTAATACATAGAAATCCCCATAACAGAGAAGAAATGAACAACATAGCTATAAAAGGAATGGGACACATAACTAACTTTACTTGTTGCACTAGCAGAGTTTATTCTCACCTTTGTTTCCTTGATATTGTCCTTATAAAGTTTTCAGGCCATCAGTCAGCATTGCCACAGGAAAGGCGTAAAATCAGAGCTAGAAGGCTCAGTGGGCCAACATGAAAATAATAAAAAATGTTAAGACACAAATGGTCCACAACAGGAAACTATAGGAAAACTCCTACTCTAGAAAATAATTTAATACAGGGAAAAATAAACAGCCATATAGTTCCTTGTAACTGTTCAGTCCCAGACTGTACCTGCTAACTCAGCTCTCCAAGATTTCCATATATAAGAGATTCAGGGAAGGCATCTTCAGCACTGGTTAGATTTGCAGCCTGCTAAATGAAAATGACAGTAAATTGGTTTGGGGTGGATGAACTCTCCCACTGCTGGAAGCAAAGATATCACTGGATATATATTTTACGTGTCCCATAGGATAAAATGCAAAGTAGGAAAGAGAAAATTTTCAAATAAAAAAAATCAATTAGTAGTCTGCTAAGGTACTTTCTGCAACATAACAAGTGAGGCTGAGGAGAATGACAATAGTTAGCTGGGGAAAAGAAAGCAGAAGTCAATGTCCAAACTTCATTTCTCTTAAGTACCATCTAACAGCCACAAGAGATTATTTGCATAGCTCAGGTCTCAGATAACTGAAGTAGGAGCTTCTTGCATTGATTCCACTGATGTCTCAGAGCTGGATGCATTTATGCAAGCTGGACAAATGCTCCATGTCACACACTATTAATATGTAAAACTATTTTCCCTTCCCAGCTTTTAGAAATGGATGAACTCAGACCTAGATGCACAACAGCAAATTTGAACAAAACATAAGTAATTTCTATTGAGACCCCCAATATTAGAGTTCTGCAAGGAAGTGATGTCACTGACCAGTAATATTTGCTCTCACTTTCTTTCCCTTTTTCTTACTACATTTGGTCACCTAAATGGCCTGCACTAACCCTTCTAGCACCCCAGTGTGCCACCATGATACACTTAAAGTTTGGAAAAGCTTTCAGAATATTTCATACCCAGATCAGATACACTGCAAGGAAGATTACCTTAAACACATGTTCTAAACTCAACTAAGTGGTGAAACCAGAAGAGCTCCTGTAATTCTGACTCCATGCACTGGAATCAGTGGCAGTTTTATTGGATGGGTGAAGAGACATTTCACAGGAGCCATCATACTCTTGTTTAATTTTTATTTTGCACATCCCAACTGCTTTACATCACTCTGAAGGTTTTATTAGCCTTTTATGAGCCTACCACAGTTTTCATTTATATCATCTTATAACTTCTCAATTACTCACTCCTTTGGAGCCTTTTCAACAACACTAGACTCACTGGCACTAATTCTACCAATTGCATATCCTATCTCATATATCATAAATCCATAGATGTTAGGGGCTGGAAGGGACCTTACAAGATCATCAGGTTCAGCCCCTCTGTAATTGGGCAGAAAAGACTTATCAATCAATAAGCTTATCAATAATGGATTCTTTGGTATTTTTTTTCAGGATTTTAACAGGGACTGAGCTCAAACTGATTGGCCTGTAATTCCCTGGGTCGTCCTTTCTCCCTTTCTTGAAGATAGGCACCACCTTGGCCCTCTTCCAGTCTTCTGGGGCCTCTCCCAAGCACCACGAGTCCTCAAATAGCTTGGCCATAGGTCACGCGATTATGTCAGCCAGTTCTATTAGCACTCTCAGGTGTAGTTCATCCAGTCCAACTGACTTGTAGCTATTCAGCCTCTCTAGGTATTCCCCCGCAAGATCTTTGCCAGCTATGGGAGGGTGATCACCTCCACCTTGATCATGCTGTATCCTGTCAAGCAGTCTAACACCCTTGGACTGGAGGAATACCGATATGAAGTATTCATTAAGGAGTTTGGTTTTGTCCCGAGTGTCAGTTATCAGCTGTCCCATTTTGTTCATCAGGGGCCCTATGTTCCCCATATTTTTTCTCCAGCGTCCTACCTACCTAAAGAAGGACTTTTTGTTGTCCTTGATTCCAGTTGCCAATTTGTATTCAGTTTGTGCCTTTGCTTTCCTAATCTGCTCCCTACAGGTGTCAGCTATTGCTAAGTATTCCCCTTTGGGGGTAATTTCTGACTTCCATCCCTTATAAGCTTCTCTTTTTAAATTTCCAGAGGTCAAGGACTTCCCTATTGAGCCAAGAGGGTCTTCCAGCCCTTTTGCTGCCTTCCTTACAAAAGGGAATGGACTTCCTTTGGGCTCCTAGGATCATTAGGAACCTAGGAGCCTAGGATCATTCTTTGTGCTCCTAGGATCATTAAGAACTCTAATGTACATATTTTAATAGCATTAAACTTTTACCATTTGACTCATAACTTGTTAGTTGGGTAACTAAAATGTTGGCAAGCCAGAATAATAACTAATTTTAGTTGGTATTTCAAGACAGACATAAATGGCTTCCTTCGATAAGTTATATCAGCAGGTTTTGCACACTGGTATAGTGCTGTGAGATAGACCCACCATTTCACATCTGATCTGACACCAATTGCTTGAGTGTGGCTTGAGAGCCTCTCTTAATACTTATCTGCCCTCACTTTTTTGCACAGATCTTGCTGACAACTAAATGAACCTACTTAAAGAAAGGCATCTATACAGATAGAAAGGTATTTGATACTGGTAAATATGGCTTGGATACCAAAACATCTTTATATCAATAATACCGTGTCCACATTAGAATGCTGCACCTATGCATCTAAATCTAGTTTTCAGTTCAGTCAAGGAAAACCCGAGTGTAGACCAACTGCTAAACTACACCCCACCCTTATTTAATACTGTTGGCACTAACCACAGAATTGAGTTTGGAGAAGGACCCTGTATTTTTGTAACAAATACATTAGCTGGCACATACATAAGACTACAAGTTATATGTTTAGATTTGCCTATATTAGAGAGGGAGATCATTTCAGTGGCATGGACTACACAGAGCATTTGACTGTCACATTGTCCCTGCAGCAGTTAAGCAAGTCTGTTTGGCATCACTGTTTTTGATATATCAACATGCAGCAAACCATAAAATCCTAGGTTTTTTACTGATTCTGAGGAACCTTGAAACCAACCTTCCATAACATTTCTAGGAGGTGGGCTATTGGTCATTCTTCTAAGGACATGAACTCCATTGTTGGATGAAATTTTAGAGCATCTATACTTGGGCTCTGGGGTGGAGGTGGGGGGCACTTTAATTGGAGTGGCTCTGAGAAACGCTCTAATTAAAGCGCACACAGTGTCACATGTATACAGTGTCCTATGCTTCAAAATGGTGGTGGAGGTGCTAGAACTAAAGCTCGTTCAATGAGCTTTAGTTCAAGTGCCCCCACTGCCATTTTGAAGTGCAGGGACACTGAATAGACACGACGTGGAGGCTGCTGGAACATACTAATTAGCAAGCTTTGAAGCAGACACCCGACGTGTACAGGTGCTCAAAGTGACCAACTGAACTGGTGAAGCTGTAACAACTGGCTTCCTATCTGCAGTCAAAAGATACAAGTTAAAGCAGTTAGACTTGAAGTTACACGTTGCACTTAGACTATACTAAATGTGGAACATTAAGCCTCATTAAAATGAGAACATGCTGAGAACAGTTGTACATTAAGGGTTAATACTGTTGCTTACCTGCACAGCTCTGACTTGCCACTAGAGCACGGCTAGGAGCCAGAACACCTGGGCTCTATCCTTGCTCTCTGGGAGCAGTGTATCCTGGGATGCTGGAAGACTGCAAATTGCTTTATCTCTGTGGAGCAGACTGCTATTACCCTAACATGAGCTAGGAAGCACAGCCCAGAGTTATTGCTTCACCTAAAGCAGCGTAACTTTTAAATTTTTAGAGGGTATTTAGCATGAGTTAACAAGCCTTAATATACGGACACTTACATTTAAAGTGTCTTTAGTATTGTTTAAGTGTAATGAGTAACTTCACCCTTATTCTGAGCCAAGACCCTCATAGAAAGCATTGCAAGAGCGTGATACAATCAGGTCTTGTAAAACACTTTGATCAGCTGCTGTGTGGATGCAGGATGTCACATAAGAAAGGTTCCCTGACCTTTGTAGAAAGTTTGACCTAAGTTCTACAGATATTATAGAGCCTGATTCCCACAGCAGCCTGATTGTGATTTGTGATTCAACAGCCTGATTCCCACAGCAGTCCAGTGAAACAATGTTTATTCAGACACACAACCCCAAATATCCCCTTAGGCAATACATAAGCAGCATGTATAGGCACATCTGTTAACTGTCTGATTTATTAAGAATCTGGAATTCTTTTTAAAAACAACAGACACAATGCTTCTCTTTCAAATAAAAATACTTCATTAAAAAACATGAAAGAACACACAAAGAGAAAGTGTGGATGGGCCAGCTCCAACTAAGTGGACTGTGCAGTCTTCACAAATGTCTGCAGATCTCCAAATCTAGTGCTAGACAGCAATCACATTTTAAACAGTAATACCAACCAAATCAGAGACAAGGACTGCAGATGAACGCTGTTTAAGCCAATGGTTCTCAACCTCAACAGACCTGAGGCACCCCTTGATGGAATCGAGGTGCCCCTCAACAGACTTGTGGCATTCTGTGGAAAATGCCAACTCTTAGTTTTATATATAGCTATAAACTATATCCCTGAAGTTCTTAGTTTTCACTTTCTTTTACTATAAAAAATAATAGAGCAAATCCTTCTGCTGTAAAGAGCTCAAAAAGACCACAACAGAGTAGAATATTCATAAAGCTATGGATTCCTATTTGAAATTTCTCGGTTTGCCTTGTGAATCACGTTTGCACACCTAACCGTGCTAATATTGCACCCTTGAAAGGATCCTGAGACACCCTGGTTGGGAATCACTCATTTAACTAATAAAATCCTTGAGAAAAGCTGAATTTGGTTCCCACCCACCAGTTGGGTCATTTATGACAATACACAGCACTTGTGAGGGACTTTATGCTTAAAATATCTCCTCCATTACACAATGGCAATGAAAGCTATTTCCTTTTTTAACTGATAAGGATGGGTTCAAAAACAGTCAGCACCATCTTTGTGGTCAGAGATCATAGAGCTCCTTATGCAGCAGTGTATTTTTACTAGGGTTATACTGGCCATCTTTAGGAAGGGGGCTCTGGATTGGCCTCTGTGTGCAGCATGGGGCAGATCTTCTAACATAGCTGAATAGGTCTCATTCAGATAAAGGGAAATACTGGAGACTGCATTCACAGAGGCCTACACACTAAGATTTGTCCATCCTATGTGTTCGCTCATGCCTCCTTAGAGTACCTGACTCAGTGAAGGAATGACCACAGTAAGCACAAGAATAGGGTTTCTCCCCAGTATGGATCCGTTGGTGGCGCTGTAGTGATGCCAGTCGTGTGAAAGTCCCTCCACACTCTTCACAATAGAAAGGGCGCTCTCCAGAATGAGTCTGCTGGTGCCTTTTTAGTCTAAGTAGTTGGACAAAGGCCATGCCACATTCCTGGCATTTATATGGTTTATCTTGCCGGTGGATCACCTTATGTTTGGATAGCAGATTGGATTTACGGAAACCTTTGCCACATGTGGGGCAGATATAACATTTTGACTCTTCTTCCCCAGACTTCTGGTTTTCTGAAAACTGTTGATCACTGTCCCCATTACTATGCTGGTTTCGGTGCACTGTGGACCATGGGTTCCTAACCATACCACTTCCCAAAATTACCATAGAGCGCTCTATCTTGTGTACATTGCGTAGGTGCCTCCAGACATCTGCCGTGCGGATGAAACCTTTGTCACACTCTGGACATTTGTGCGGCCTTTCACTAGAATGAATGAGCTTATGCATTCGTAAGTTTGCAGCTCGGAAGAACTCTTTGCCACAGACTGGGCATCGGTATGAATTCTCTGTCAAGTGGATCTGCTTGTGTTCCTTTAATTCACTTAGGTCCTGAAAAGAAGTACCACACTTCTTGCATCGATAAGCTTCTCCAGAGATAGGCTCTAGTTCCTCCTCATCAAAATCCTCAATCAGAATGGTGTTTTCATCATCCTCACTTAATCCATCCTGAGGTTCCTCTGACTGCTCTGAGGAATAGAGTTCCAGATCCTCATCTTCACACTGCAAGTCAAAGTTGGTGCTGGAGGTGACAAAGACCCCAGTTGTGGTCTCACCTCTCTTCTGATAATAGGTCTCATAAGTCTCTTCATCTTCACACTGTAATTCTACAGGGAGTTCTTGCTTACCTGAAGGTCCAGCAGGGCTGCAACTACGACTGGATGGTTGTGAGTAGTCTACCTCAACCTTGAGCTGAAGGCTAGATTTACAAGCTCCCTGCTCAGAGGTCTGGCTGGACTCATCTGAATGCTCCTCACCTGTGTCACAAGTGTCATTATCAGACTCCCAGTCCGCCTCCACATCCATCCTGTGATGTCATTCACTGTTTTCACATATGGCTTAGTGGGGTGTAAGCTCACCAAGAACTTAAGAGTCTTTCATGGCTGGTCCACAGTTCATATCACAGCCTTCCCTAAAAAACATACGGGATTATTTCAGAGACCACTATAGTACAGCTCCTTTTCGGGTGAACAGAGTAGTATCATGGATATGTGCATTAGTTTCACCATGGAAGAAACTGACTCATTATATGGCTATGGTCATATGGAATGTTTCTAAAATTTCATAACATTAAATTCTTTACTTAGTTGGATCTTACTGCAAATTAAAAAATATAACAAAAACCATTTCTGGCTTATGTCACCTTACAACAAAGATTTAGCATGCATCTTCTACTCTGAGTATTTAGGTCTTGAGTTTCCCCTTTCATAATTTAGAAATTATTCCCACTTTTATTTGTACTCAACGCTTCTCGACATTTATGTTGCCATTAGATGTGATTTCTCTTAGGTCTGAGACCCAGACACACAAAATGCCCAACAGCAATGCATATTTGGTCAGAATACACAGAGGAAATAGCAGAAACATGTGTTATTGTTGTTGTTTTTTGAGCTACTTGCATGTCTAGATTTTTCCCCATGCCTTCATAGAATAGGCTCTCTCACTTCTGGCCCATGCAAGTTATATGGGAGTCTAATACAATTTTTAAATAATTGAAACTGCACCCATTCAAGATGCTAGTGCTTATTGGTTATGTTGCTTTGTACATTATTTGGCCTATTTATTTTCCAAGCATTCTGGTGCAGAAACATCAGATAATTCCAGGTTTCCATGAGCAAACTACAAACTTCTCTTTTCTTTCAAGAAGGTTTGGAATTGAGATATTCAGACTCACTACACTGAAAACCTTAAGGTTCACCACCTTATGCTCCACCTAAAGGTTAATATTAGCACTGTTTTTACGTTGCAAGGGAGAATAGATTTTCCATGAGTGAAACTAGGCGTAACAGCCACAGGCATTATCTTTCTGATGCTGATTGCATAACACACGCAGAGAGATCCAGCAATAGTAAGTAGATCAAATAACCAACCCTGTAGCAATAAGCAGCTGTATGCGGAGGCGGAGCCCAATGAAGCTGTATGTGCTCATACTGCTCCCTTACAGGTCATCTGAGACAATGAAGCACTGTGATTGCTTTGGCGCATCACCACAGCTCATAATTATGAAGCTCTTCAGGACTTTCCAGACCACTTGACAACTATCAGCTGGCACCACATAGAGAAGAAAGAGACATAATTCTGGAGAAATAATTTGTCAGAGAAAAAGGTACAACTACAGAAATAATACACGTCAGATACAACTACAGGAAATGGCTAGGTTGCAATGGGCAAATAATTTTGGTGAAAAGCTAGCAAAGTAAGATGAGGATGGTAATACAAGGCAAATTCATTCCTCAGAATGAGGTGTTTTGATCAAGAATTTGAAGTTAGAAAAATAACAATAATCTTTAAGGCTGTTATTCTTGTATGTTGTTCTTTCAGACCCTATACACACTATAAGCATAAGAATTCTCTACAGCTGGCCACCCAGAATATCTTTAAATTCCCTGGAAAAGCTCTCTTTACAAATGGCAGTGGACAGGAGCTGTCTGAACTGGCCCAAAGGAATCTCTCTGAACCACATGAAATTCTTGCAAGGAATGTGCTGATATCAAGTGTAGTTTAAAACAGCATTTCTCAACCTGTAGGTTGTGACCCAAAAGTGGGTTGCAAGAATATATGAAAGTGTCATGAACAAATTTAAAAAAATGGATCAACAGACTTTAAAAATGGAGAAAAATGTGGGAGACTGCAGCTTTTCTCTTGCAAGCTGTCAGAGTTCTGGACTGCAAGGGGCTGCTTCGGGCCTCCTCTGCCCTAAACACTGAGGGGCTGGGGCCTAGGGGGCAGTGGGTTGGGAGTGAGGGACAGTGGGTCAGGACTGGCCATTGATGTTTACAAATGAGTGCTGGTCTCACCCAAGATATGTCTGCATGGCATAAGGCAGTGCTGTGCAGACACCAGAGCCAACCCTAGAAACAGAAGCAGTATAGTGACAGCAGTGCAGTACTGTGCCCTGACTATCTAGGTCAGGGCTGTCTAAATTTTGGGGAACTGGAGACTACAGACGTAGAAGCTACACTATACACAGGCCACAGACCTACGCAGGTGGGTGGGTGCTCTGCAGTTCCCTTCCAGCATGCAATCTGAAGAGTGCTCTGCCCGACCCTTCTTGCAAAGGGCTGCTTGCACAGCTCCCCCATACCCATGCAGCACAGGAAGCCTGGCCCTACCCACATAGCACCTGAGGAGAGTGGTCTGCATGCACAGTGTGCACAGCTGGAAGTGGGGGGAAGTCAGGCAGCCCAGTACCCCTTCCATGCTGAATACATAGCACAAGCAGCCTGGATCTACCCCCGGCTATGAGTGCCACACAGGCACCTTCCTTGACCCCCACCTCCCCATACATGCCATGTGCACAGAACCCACCCACGCCTGCTCTCCTGGCTTCACGTACTACCCACCTACAGCGTGGGCAGCCTGGCTCCCTTTGCTGCCAGCAGCTCAGGCACTCTAGCTCACTCCTACCCACTGGGGCAGGAGCAACTGATGGTAGGGAAGTGGCAGCTGGAAGCCTACAGGTTGCATGCAAACCCTTCAGGAGACACGGTCTGCCAGCTAGACAACCATGAACTAGGCAACAGTGCTCATCGAACTGGTTCCAGCACCACACTCTTGTGGCTATATTGCTTCCAAAACTGGGAATTTCAAGTACCTGGGCCATTTTAAGTTGGCTGGTGACAGATGAAGTTCTACAATAACTTGATTTATGGAAACATTACCTCCAGGTACCAAGAGACAATATATCCTCATCCATGGATATGGTTTTGGAACCACGTATAATCAATACAGAACTTCACAAACTGCCTTTACATACGGAGATAAATCTAGTTTTGTTTTCATAAACCCTTATTATGTGCATGTCCTGTCAATTATCCCTTCAGTTGAATACTTATGCTTCCCTACATGTACTTCTTTCCCTCCTTTCTATGGTCTTTCCATTTCCTCATTCTCCTCTTCAAGCTATTGTCTTACCTCCTCCTACACGGCCAAACACCTCACAGGACATATTCCGAAGCAGTAAACTGTTTCAGTTTGTAGGAACTTGCCCTGAACCTGCCCGACCCAATGATGCACATGGCTTGTTCCCCGCTGCAGGCATTAGGTGCGGTTTTTCAGGGCACAGTCGCTGAGGGTTCTGCTTATGGTAGAACCTTAGAGACGAACACATTCAGAAAGGCACAAGCTTTTGTCTATCAAAGCAATGGCTGGCACCTATGATTGCTTATGCCTCTCTGATCACGTTAATCGGAGTGCCTTGACATACGTTACACTTATGATGTGTTAACTGCACTTGAAGCACCAGCACCTGCACGTTCGAGCAGTAAAGGATGTGTAGCAAAGACAGAGCTTCGGTTTTAAGTCGCACACATTCAGCTATCGTGGGACTGCTCCAAAGAGATAAAAAACAGTTCTCACGGGCTACAGTATGGTGCAGGTGCTGGAATTAAGAAAGAGCCACTGCCCAGTATTACAATGCAGCTGACTCAAAGCTCTGGTGCGATGCCGGGGCTTGGCCCACAAAAGAGCTGTTGGCTGACTGCAGACGGCTCCAGCCCCTCTACATCATAGCTGGCAGGACCGTGCGACAACTTGGACTGAGCGTGAGCACATGATAACGCCTGCTGCCACCCACATCACTCTCAGGCCAATGCAGCATGAGGAGCTGAGTACTGCCTGCCACATGCAGCCCTGCCTCGGGCGACCGCCGCCAACGACCTCCCTCAGCCTCCGGCTGGCGCCGTACAGGATTCGTGACATTCTCACCCTTGGCCATGGCCTGGCAGCGCTGGTCGCTCCATCTCCTGGTGGGAACCCTGCATCTCCAGGCCTGCGGGATGGAGGGGGCAGAGTAGAGGGCTGGGTGGACCCTGGCCCACGATCAGCCCCACCCCAGGATCAGCCCCTTCTCCCACACCCCACTCTCAGGCTCGGCCCCCCACACACACCCCCGCCCCCATGATCAGCCCCCAC